GTTCTCTTTCCCAAGATGGCCAAAATGTCCAAAAACAAAAAGAAAAAGATGAAGAAGAAGCAAAGGAAGCAGGCAGAGATGCTGGAGAAGAGAATCCAAGAGATGGAGGGAGGAGCAACACCTGAAGGAGGAGAAGAGGAGGATGATGAGGAGACGACGACAACAACAACTGAGACCACCGAAGATACGACTTCCTTAGCCACCCTCTCTATGTCTGCCACGCTGCAAGACATTGCTAGCCATACTATCACGGGTGAGTGACCGGGCAGATCCTAGACTGGATAATTGTTTCAGTTAAAATGGTTTTATTGATTTATTGGTTCAAATAATCAAAAAATAGCAACACACGTGACATCTGAAATAAACATTAATCAGTAATAAGTCGTTTTTGCTGAAAGAGTACCATTCATCAGGAAATGAGTGAAACAGAGTTGTATCATCCACACTGCCACAGACACAACTCCTGATGAGCAGCCCCAGCAGACGCCAGAGGCAAATGAACGGAGAGGGGATGCGGCCGAGGGAGAGAACACAATGGAGGTGAACTGCAACGGCCACGCCTCCACACCAGAGAGCGACACCAGCGTAGAGGTACAAGGGACCAAGCAGTCGACGGAGGAGCAAGAAGACCAACAGAACGCAAACCAGCCACAAAGTAACACGCAGACCGAGGACATGTTAAGTAACAAGGAAGAGCATCAGACATGTAACGGTTCACCCCGGGACCCCGACACACAGCAGCTCCCTGCCTCTCTAAAGGAGGGAGATGAGGAGAAGGAGGGGAAGAAGGAGGATGAAATGGACACTCGAGGGGAGACCAAAAAAGAGGATGATGAGGAGGACAGCCAGAATGGTTAGTTAAAATGTTTTACCCCTTACAGTATATTTATTGTCTATCTTCTAGTTCCAGCACTTTACTGAAGCCATATGAAGCTTATAAGTACCCTGTGTTAATAAGAATATTTGGGATGTTCTGAGCATAATTTTATCATCACTTATCGTTCGTGCATCACACATTGCGCACTGAATTCTGCAAAATGTTTTCTTCTTTCTTCACACTAATGTGCAATCACATTTAAAAGGCTGAAATTATCAATACTACATGCACAATGAGAAAAAAACCTTCAGTATGGCTTTAACTAGGGATGTTCCGACCAGATCTCAACAATGGTTATCTGTGCAATCAAGCATTAACTTAACTGATCGGTATCGAGCTTTACTGCTCTGTGTGTGTGTGTGTGTGTGTGTGTGAGAGAGAGGGAGAGAGAGCAGGAGCAGGAGCAGCCCCGCCCGCTGCAGAGTTTCACCGCGGATGCCACAGAAAGGTTGCGCTAGTGAGGCTAATACATATGGATTAACCTGGCGCATCACATCACATTACCTGGAGGACACCCAGTAATGTAGCATATAATAACACTTTCCACTGCGAACTGCGAACTGCAAACTTTAATACCTGCCACTGTAGCAGCTTACTGAGTTTGAATGTATCATCCAAACAGACCCAGAGGTTGTCAAGTTTAATGCGATACTGGAAGATTTACTCCCAATTGTCAAGATGACCCAGTGCAGTTATGAGCACTCTGCCAGCTAAGATTTACTCGGTTACCTTCCATGTGTCTAAATTTTTGTCATTCTTCCCTCTGCTTTTCTACCTCATCCTCCTGTGTTCCCATCTCCCTCTCCTCTCCTCTCCTCTCCTCTCCTCACTTTAACAGGAGCATCAGGCAATATGTTAGTAAACCCCCTGGAGCCTATTAACGCTGACAAGCTGCAGGTTAAGATTGCTGACTTAGGCAACGCCTGCTGGGTGGTGAGTGAAAATATATATTGGCACTTTGTCTATGAACAACTCTTGTTGGGACCTTGAAAGGTTTGCCCACTGCTTTGAATCAGACCTAATTCAAAAAGAAGCAGCACTTTTCAAACACCAGTTCAATTGTTACTTTGTGTCTCAGCATTAAGGGTTTGTCTCTTCTTCTTGCAGAACAAACATTTCACAGATGACATCCAGACGCGGCAGTACCGTTCTCTTGAAGTGCTGACAGGAGCCGGCTACAGTACACCAGCAGACATCTGGAGCACAGCCTGCATGGTAAACAGACGCACACACTCAGACCACCTGTACCACTGTCAGGAACTGATGTCATTAAAAGTTATTTTAGCTCTGTAAGGTAACCTGTCAAGTTTTTATTGGAATTGAGCAAAGTTGTATTAAGTTAATTTGTCAATAAAACACATTGTGTGTACACTTTAGGTCTCAACACCATAAACAAATTGTAAAGCTTTGTTCAATGTTTTGGAACCTGTGTACCAGCTTCCATTCTTCTTCTACTCCTCTTTTATTGACTCATTGCTATTTTTTACAAAGCATAATCCTCCCTAACACTTTTACTGCAGTCAGCAGAAACATGTAATATGTCGATGTGCACGTGACATTAGGATATGGGATACAAAAAACAAAAGTCAGGCCATCCAGGTTTTGACCTCATTGACCATATTAATGGACTGATTATTGAGTTTGTGTTTTGTTTGTTTTTTTTCCCTCAGGCCTTCGAGCTTGCTACTGGAGACTATCTTTTTGAACCCCATTCTGGAGAAGACTACTCCAGAGATGAAGGTTAGTGTCTGCTTCCCCTGAGACATCTGTCCCCAAAACATCAGACATCAGGTTTTAACTGTGCTATCCCAACAGACGAGAGACACTCAAATGAGTGAATGCCAGATTCATATATAGTTTATATGTAATAGAGTCCAGCACTTGAACCATTCATTGAAATGGTTATGTTTACCCTGGTGCTTCATCAGCAGTGTTTGTGTGTTTCTCTGCCTCCCTGTAGATCACATCGCGCTGATCATTGAGCTGCTAGGTAAAGTTCCTCGGAAGCTGATCATGGCAGGCAAATACTCCAAGGAGTTTTTCACCAAGAAAGGTAAACACTGCCGCCCCGCCACCAGCTGTCTGCTGTAGCTAAATCAAGTTCATTTCTTAAAATATGCTCAGGTAGCTCAGGTATTTGGTGCAAATGTTACTATTTCAGACTGAGCACCTGACGCCTCAAGGGAACAGCCATCTGCTCAGTTTGAGGACAGAACTTTCAAATTAACTTTAGTGCAGCTATTTCCAGTTCATAGAGGTGGTGCAGTAGATTTTCTCCAACCAAAAAATGCTCTGAATACTAATCTAAAATAATATTCTATTTAAAACTATTGTTTTAAAGAATATATAATACCCATAATATATATCACACCCTGATATTCACTGTAATTGACCATTTTCTCCCAGGCGACCTGCGTCACATTACCAAGCTGAAGCCGTGGGGGCTACTTGACGTGTTGGTAGAAAAGTATGAGTGGTCCAAAGACGAGGCACACACCTTCAGCAGCTTCCTGCTGCCCATGCTGGACCTGGTGCCCGAAAGGAGGGCCACGGCAGCCCAGTGCCTCTCCCATCCATGGCTCACATCCTAGAGGTCATCTGTGCACACCTGTTCCACCCTCTTATTGTGAAAGTATAAATTAGGTTTGAAGATCCTGGGCTTGAAAACACACAGCAGACAAACAAATTAATGTCTGTACGACCCTGCGACTGCATTGTGCCTGCATCCTCCTGTCATGGCTCTCAGAGGCTACCCACACACACTTCCATGAACCCGATAAAAAGAGAGACTGCTGCAGTCTTTTTCCTGATTTGGAATACAATGGTGATAGAAGGAACTCTTGGTCTTCTCTCTATATTTATGACTTTTTTTTACTGGATGCATAGGACTTGTTCACCTTGTTCTCTCTTGTTTTTCTGACTCCAGCTCTTTCTCTGCAGCACATAACTCTCTGTATTTTTAGCTATAGATGATCATCTGGATTTAAAAGGAAATCGCACTCGTCTACAAATGCAGAAGAAGGCAGGATATTAACAGAAACATAAGGATGCCATCAAAAACACATACTGTTTCGGTCATTAATAAGCCAAATCTGTCTCTGTTTGCCGGTCATCACGTTAGCTGTGCCAGCTTTCAAGCTTTTGGCTGTTTAAAATATGTGCAAAGTGCTCAGAATTAATAACTGCGTTATGCTAACAGGCACAATGAGAGACTAATGTTCTTAGCAGTGTTAGCTTTATGTTAAATAAACCTTTTGTACATTTCTATACAGGCAGAACTACATTATTAGAAAGCATAGATTTCCTACATTTTAAAGTTGTGCACCAGGTCTGCCGAGAGACTCCTCTGAAATCAAACTATTTTTCAGGGAACTGTGATCTCAGATTATTGTTAGTGTCAGCGTGATCTTAAATTCTCTTAGAAGCACTCGGAATAATATAATGTGAAAAGCATACAGATTCCTTCTTCACTTCATGCATGAGGTGGCAGAAAATAACTTTTTGCTGTTTCCTGTTTCTCCCACACTAACAGTCAGTTTAAACTGTGTATCCAGAGTACAGTACAATGTACCAAAGAGATGGCCTTTAGTTTCTCCCTCTCTGCAGATAAAGCTGTGCACAGTTCATAGAAGAGACTGTCAGCAGTGTAGATTAAAGGCACAAGCTTAAAGGTTTGAGCTCTTTTGCTTTTTACACTTTTGGAAATGCTTCGAAGAACGTTCAGGCGATTTCCAGTTGTACGAAAATTTTAAGTGCGCTGCACATGGAGGTGTTGGATTAGAAAATAACAGATTGTACTAAAAACAAATGCTGTAATAACGCTTTGAATCTCTTTAAAACCATTTTGCTCGTTTTTCTACAAAGTTTCCTCTCCTTCTGTCCGTGTCTGCCCTCTTAATTTGATGATTTTTTTTCTGTAGGTAATAAGAATAAACATTTTTTCAAACTCTAACTAGACTGTGTTTGCCTCATAAATCACCACTGCAGTGTTTCCATTCTCTGCTGGATATGAATTCAGCATCAGGACATCCAGAAGGTGGATACAGTAGAGTGCTGTCAGCTGTTAAACAGGAAGATTTTATATTATTATTATTAGTACTAACAGATGATCGAAGATGATGAGTTTATTTTGAGGACTGTTTGTAGCATATTTTATTAGGACGCCCAACCAAAATCACTCCAAATACTGCTTAAACATAAGATGTTCAGATGAATATGGTCTCCTCAGCATGTATAACAATTCTCTCGCCCAACTAATCTATATTGGTAAAAAGGCCTGAAAGCAAAGTCCACAGAATGTTCATGGGCTGAGCTGGAGGTGAACAGTCTGTTAACAAACTCACAATTTCAAGGGCAAGATGGACTTCTTGAACATTATTTTTAGATTGCAATTAACTGTCCTGAAGCCTTGGAATATATTTGAATCCCTCCAGTCAGTAGCACTGCTCATCCAAGTCTGGTCCATCTCTTCCCTCTGTTGTCCGCAGGGAGCCTAGGCGTTATCTGTGGTTGAGAGAAAAACAGTGAAAGGAGTAGGAGATGTAATTGCCACTTCAGATGATGACACTTTTTTAACATACATACTACACTCAGGGTTGAGTAGTAACAGATTACATGTAATCTGGATTACATAACAATCATGAAACTTTTTTATAATAACCAATGCTCTATTAACTCATGGAAAGTATCAATATATGAATCGCATTTGAGATATTTCACTGAATAAGAATAAAATATAATCTAATAGTTCTCAATATATGTCAGTCTGAATCCCAAAGGTCAACCTCATGGTGGCGCTACAGGAACAGTCAGAGGATCAACAAAGTCAGTGGGATGCAGCTTCTGGGAAACATAAATGGTACCTTTACCCTCCACCTGGAAGTCCTCTGGCAGCAGCTTGTCCTGCCGGCTGCCCAGGCTGAAGGCCACCATTGAGAGGATGAGGGAGTCCATGATGCTGATGATGGCCAGGATGTAGGCCCACCGCACTGTGCAGTTTCCCAGGGTGTATTTGTCGGTCCGCTGACCACACATGCGCTTCACCTGCTCCGAGTCCCAGCCGTCAGGATAGATCATACAGCCAATCACCATGCAGGTGCCTGAGAGAGAGGGAGGAGACAGGTGCTTCATTCAAACTGAAAAGAGTTCAAACACACTTTAAAGGAGTTTGATGGGGGAAATCTGTGGAATGTAGCCTAAGTACATTTACTCAAATACATATTTGAGGTACTTCGTTTCATGCCACTTTATACTTCATGATATTTCACAAGAAAATGTAGCATTTTTTACTTGACCACATTCATCTGACAGCTTTATTTACCAAAGAACAAACAAACCAATTAATCAATTAATGGAGAGAATAATAACCAGATTAATCCATAATGAAATGGAGCATGAGTTGCAATCCAGTACAACTACTCAGTTTTAAAAACAGGATGAAATCATCCTGAATACTTCCTCCACCAGTGACTGTGTTTAATTTTATATAATAACACATTCACTGTAAAAGAGCATCTTGCTGCTGTTGATGGGAAATATCACAAGCCACCTCCTCCACCTCCACCGCTGCTGCAACAACAAACAAGACAGAGAATCCACCAGAGAAATTAAATATATGCACTCCACTCATTCAGGTACGCGCGCACACACACACACACACACACACACACACACACACACACACACACACATATGCAGGTGAGTTGCCTAGCAACACCAGAGCATCTTAACTCCAGAAAGACGAACTTGTTCATCCATTATTGACTGCAGACAGACAGCCGGCCTCGTGCTGCCCACCTCAGCATGTAGAGCCATGTGAGGTATCAGGTGACGAGGTGAAACATTAGCACACAAACACCTCACTTTTACTTTCTTAGCCTCACACACCTTTTCACCTTCACTGACTCAAAGCTGTCACGCTCACTTTCTCAAGTCTCTTCCTCATTTTAAGACAGTTAATTTATTTTATATTAAGTTATTTCAAGACGTTAAACTGCGACTCAGGAGGTTAATTGCTGACTCAATTATTCTGTAACTTACATCTCTGGTCGAACCTGTTAAACAAATATGTTTTTAATCCCCTTACTTTTATTATTTCAGACTCTAATGACCCCCTCACAGATTGAGTTGTCCCTAATAAAGAAATTCACTTAGGCTGATTCAGGGGGATAGGGTTGTTAACCCCACTAACAACAACCTGTCTACCCTTCATAGCCAACATGGGGCCCTGTGAAGAGATATGGTTCTACTTTTCAGACTAATTTAGAAGCTTGACTAGATTTAAAAGGAGTATGTGTGTACTATACAGACAGTAAGAGTCTGGTATTTATTGGAACGTGACACACACACACACACACACACACACACACACACACACACACACACACACACACACACTAAACGGCAGGTGTGAGGAATATGAAGGAGAGGACAAAGTGTAACAGCACACCTCCAGGTTAATCTCATTATTTGTCCTTTCACTTGCAGCTACATCTGTTCACAAGCTGCTTCATGTTTCAAAAACAGAATCAGGTTTCACTTGTCTTCACCGTCTGTGAGTCAATGAAAGGAATCTACTGAAATGTTGCGGGATGTGCTGAAAGTCTCCGACTGTTTCGTGGATATTCTGGTCTTTATTATGCCTCTGCATGATATTGTTACTGCTTGTGTGTGTGTTTAGCACTCATCTCTCTATCTCGTATTTGTTTCTGAGGCCCAAATGTCCCAATCTTGTTTCTATGTGGCCCCCGATTACTGGTGCTAGGTTAACGGCTCTGCCTTTCTAAGCAGTGGTGGACAAAACTAAAGTACATTGACTCAAGTGGGATACTGAAGTACAATTTTAAGTTCCTTATACTTTATTTGACTATTTCCATTTGATCCTACTTTATATATGTGAACAATAACAACTATAGTTAGCGTAGTAGTTACTTTTTAGAGTAAGATCTTACACAGAAAACAGTTTTTAAAATGATACATTGTGAAGGAATAACTACCCAACCTAATACTAATAAGCATTTTCACATGGATTCTTTTGTTGTTAGACCAAGTAAGGTTTTATTGTCTATTTACTACATTTTTTTTGTCTCTGTTAAGTCATTGAGTGAATAATGATAAATAAGATTAGGACCTGAATTAATAACTCGTTTTGAACTCAGGAAACTGAAATTTACAACAAATGCAATTGTTATTTAATAACTGTTTATGAACATATAGTAAAGATTGTGTATTCCTTCTGTTTATATGTTTAATTAGCTAAATATATAAAACGCTTATAGCCCATGTTTTAATGTTATTTAAGAGGCCATTATGTGCAATGATAAGATTATAAACCCCGTTTTACTGTAGCCTAACTTCCATGTGAAGCCCCAAACTTTTCCCAAACCCAGGAGCTCACTGGAGGCCAGCTGCATCCAGGCGCAGATCTTGTAGACGCTCCCCGCGTTGCAGAAGAAGAAGAGGCTGAAGCAGACGATGCTGCTCACCACCAGCAACATGGAGATCCCCACGAAGAACATGGCCGTCTTGAAGGCGCCGGACGGGATGGAGCCAAAGTCCAGCGCGCTGCCTTTGCAGACGAGCTCCGAGGTGAGCGCGTTCCCGATGCAGTAGTGGAAGAGCCCGAAGTAGCCGGCCTGCGGCGTGTGGACGCTGTCCCCGATCCAGTAGGGCTGGATGAACACCACCACGGTGATGACTGCGAAGGTGATGGTGAAGACCGTCCACAGCACGCCCACGGCGCGGGCGTTACGCACGTAGTTGGTGTGGTAGATCTTGGCTGCCTCCTGAGCCGGGAGCATGGTGAGAGACTCTCCAATAAGTCTAATAAGTGTGGGAAATAACTCCTTCTGTCGGATTAAGTTATTAAAGAGTGAACAGGTAACAGCCTTTAGTTTCCTTTTTGTCCTCTGACAATGTCCACATTCTTTAAAGCCCAGTGCTGGATCCGATACATCCAATTACATCCATTACAAATATCACCACCAGAAGTCATTCATCTCCATACACTAACTTACTGGGCACCATAGCAGCAGTAAGGGGTTCCTTCAGTGTGTTTAATGTGTGGATGCTCATTCCTCCCCTCTGTATCAGCTGGCTCAGTGTGTTTCCTCTCCAGGGGAGGCTGCACTCATTAAATGTTAATGGTTAAAAGATCCACAGAGTAGAGTAACACAGGTGGCATGTAAGACTATTCTCCTTTCACTTTTAAGGGCACATGGTTTAATCACTTTCCTTTATGTTATTTCAGATTTCTTTCTCTTTCCTTCAGGATAACATATTGGATATGCAGTTCAGATAAGACACAATAATACAGGTGTAAAGTAGCCACGTGTTGGGTCAGACATACTTAAAGATTCATGTTTTAATTGTAAAATATAAATTTAAATTATTAACAGTAAATAAAAATTATAGCTTAAAACAATACTGTCCATATGTACATTTTTTTTCTGTAATTGTTCCTCCTGCCCATACTGGCCACAAGGAAATCCCTTTTCAAAGCTATTCTGATGTAAGAGATGAGGTTTCACAACCTCGGCCGAGCTCCTCTCGTCCTGCAGTAACCCCTTTTCTACCATTCCCCATCTCCTGACCTATGCTACCTCTTTGCACACCACCGTTACTCATCAGTCCTGCAGCCCATTTCCCCTTCACTCCCCTCACCATGTCTGCCTTCGCCTTCCAGCCTCATTTGCTACCTGCAAGACCCTTTTTTGTATATGTTTGTGTGGGTTTTTGCCTATCCTACTTGTCTCTGAGTTGTGCATCTGGTTAAGAGCTTTTTTCTACTGAGCCATTCAGCCATCGGTCTGAACAAACCAAATTGCTGTCTGCCGAAGCCGTATGAAGTTCCCTCTTTGTGCTTCAACAGACTGTGTTTGCTTGCTGAGCCATGACAGAAGGGCAGAAGACAATCATTGAATTTCAAACTAAAAAGACAGTAACTTTGAAATATTGTCTAACCGATCTGACAACAGACTGCTGAAGCCTTCAACTGAGCTTCAGAATGCATTTTATCACAGTATGAGGACTGTGGATTTTGTAGTTAAACTGACTGTGATGATATGGATTCATATTTTGAGGTTCCAATTGTCGCATCTTTTTCTGTTATACTCACAATTTGTACTTGTACCAAGGTTGATTGGTTGATCGGATTTAGCCTTCTCTGCATAAACTACTGAGCCACTGATAGAAAGAGACCCTGTGAGGGTCTGAATAATTTACTTGTATGTACTCCAGTCTAACACTAGATGGAGCTACAGCGCTTCATCACTGTAACTACAGCAACGCAAGTTCTCAAACCAGTAAATTTCCAACTTTGCCCCAAATCCCACATTAGGCCAATACCAAGTTATATAAGTATGTTCTTGTGTTTTTGGTCACATATCCTGAAGAAAAATAAGAGGAGTAAAGTGTCAGACACAAGAGTAGTAAACCAATTACAAGTCAAAGTCCTGAATGAAAAATTATTCTTAAGGACATGTACAGAAGTTGTCAATGAAAAGTACTTAAGTGTCAAAAGTAATAGTACTTATTAAGTCATGTCATGTAGTGTTATATTATTATTTGTATATTATCGGATTAATATTATTAGTGATCAAGTATTTTAATGCTGTAGCTGATCAATGCAGAGCAAAATATAACCCCTTTATATACTATTAAATCCATAACAATGCATTATGTTTTATAAGATGATGATATCTTTTGTATGCTGCAGCTACAGATCAGATCCACACTGTCGTCTCCCAGCTTCAAAACCAGCACCCCCAATCCCTCCTCCTCATCTCAGGTGACTTCAACCATGCTTCCCTGTCCTCTGCTCTCCCCACCTTCACCCAGTACATGAAATGCCACACCAGGGACAATAAAACTTTGGACTTGTTGTATGCAAACATCAAGGATGCATACACCTCATCCCCCCTCCCCCCGCTTGGTCGCTCAGATCACAACCTTGTCCATCTGATCACAGACTACACCCCTGTGGTGAATAAACAACCACCTGAGAAGAGGCATGTGAAGGAGTGGTCTGAGGAGACCAGTGCTAGGCTCAGAGACTGCTTCGAGACATCAGACTGGGAAGCACTCTGCAGCCCCCACGGGAATGATATTGACAGTATAACCCACTGCATTACAGATTATATTAATTTCTGTAGAGAACACTGTGCCCTCCAAGTTGATAAAGTGTTTTCCCAACAACAAACCCTGGGTGACTTAACTTAAGAAGATCAAGGCAAGGAAGGCCCCGGGCCCGGACAGCATCAGCCCAAGACTGCTTAAAGATTGTGCAGACCAGCTTTGCGGTGTGATCATGTGCTTGTTCAATCTGAGCCTGAGTCTGTGGAAGACTTCCTGTGTGGTCCCGTTACCGAAGCCACCACGCCCCAAGGAGGCTAACCACTTCAGACCTGTTGCCTTGACCTCCCACCTGATGAAGACCATGGAGAGGATCATCCTGAGACACTCCTGGTGGGCACACAGCTGGACCCCCTGCAGTTTGCTTACCAGCCTAGTATTGGGATGGACGACGCAATAATCTACCTGCTGCACAGATCCCTGTTACACCTGGAGGACAGCAGGAGCACGGTGAGGGTCATGTTTTTTGACTTCTCCAGTGCTTTCAACACTATCCAGCCGTCACTGCTCAGAGTGAAGATGGAAAGTGTGGGAGTGGAACAACACCTGACTGCATTGACTATCTCACTGACAGACCACAGTATGTGAGGCTCCAACACTGTGTGTCTGACATTGTGCCCTGCAACACAGGTGCCCCTCAGGGTATGGTGCTCTCTCCCTTCCTCTTCACCCTTTACACCTCAGACTTTACTCACAACTCCACACTCTGCCACATCCAGAAGTTCTCAGATGAGACAGCCATTGTTGGATGTGTTTCTGAGGGGAACGAACTGGAATACAGGACTGTCATCAGGGACTTTGTCAGCTGGTGTGAGCTCAACCAGCTTCAGCTAAATACTAGCAAGACGAAGGAGATGATTGTTAACTAGAGGAAAACATCCCACTTCACCCCGGTGAACATCCAGGGATTGGACATTGAGGTGGTAGATAATATATAATAATAAATTCTTGGGTGTTCACCTCAATAAAAAACTGGACTGGACTGACAACACCCAAGCTCTCTACAAGAAGGGCCAGATTCGCCTCCACCTGCTGAAGAGACTGAGGTCCTTCGGAGTAAGCAGGGCTCTCCTTAAGACTTTTTATGACTCTGTGGTTGCTTCAGCCATCTTCTATGCTGTGGTCTGCTGGAGAAGGGGCAGTACGGACAGATTTTGGTTGACACGTTTGACCATAACTCAAGAATTCATACACTAATTATGACAAGATTTCAGAAAAATGTCTGATAGGATAAAATAATGAAGTGCTGACATTTTCTATCCAAAAGGTCAACTCCATTGAGACATCGTAATGTTCTGCATAAACACACTTCTGGCCATTATTTACGCCTTAATCAACGCCTTAACTCTTGGGTGCACACTTTGAAACGGGGGTAACTGTACAGATCTTCTGTGCTGCTGGGTTGAAGAAATTTGTGAAGAATCCATGTTATAGAATTCGTAGAGGCATTTTCTAATGTCATGGCTTCAACTTTCAATCAGAATCAGCTTTATTGGCCGACACATACAAGGAATTTGACAGCAGAACAGGAATAATTAGGCTTAAAATCAAGTCAAATCAATTTTGTATCTTGAGTCTTCTCTGTCCCTTCCTGAAGAGGGCTTAAATCTTGTGAGTCCAGTCCATTTTTTTAAATTTGGACCCCAAGTTCCAATCAATAAAAGGTTAGTATGTTAGCATGTTTGAGTCCACCCTCTTCTCTTCCTCTCCCTGGATGACAACCAGGACAAGGGGGGATCCTTTTCTTCTAGTAGTTGAGCTTCAGGTTACTGTTGTTGCACCATGTGACAAAGCTCTCTATCAGTCCTCTGTACTCTTCTGTAAAAAATAGTCTCTAAGTTAAAGCAGCATGTTTATCACAGGATTCACTGGAATCATACATGTCAATATAGTGATAACTTCCATTTTGCCAAAAAATACACAATTTTATTAAATTAAAATTAAAATTTTATTAAATGATGTTGTGTACTCGCATATTATTGGTATAAAAATGTGTCAATCATGAAAACAAGACGCATGATATGTCACAACTGCTGCATTTATTTCAGCAGCATTACATGATTATGTCAGACAAAGCAGTGTGAAAATGCATGTTTGTGGGGCTTTGTTACAGTCACATGTGGGCAGTTATTTCCAAAATGCATTTCACACACAAAACTTAAGTTGTACTGCTATCTGTAGCGTAACACATTAACTTGTCATGTAGTGTTCTCAGTGTTGGTCCACGTACTTCTGTGCTGCGTCAACACATGAATGTATTGACTTAAAGAAGCCCTTGCATAATGTTGACATATTTGAGCGTTTGGTATTTTTCAGTTCCTAATCATCCAATAGGTACTGTAGATGCACAAATCAGCAGCTGACTGAATAATGTTTTCTTTGATCCTGATTTCTGACCGCAAAGCTAAAATCTTCCCTCAAACGTGTCTATAATGTTTAGTCCCAGTTCATGTTTTTCTTTACTGTTGATCTTGTACGTGTAATAGGTTGATATATAGATCTGCAGCGCTGTGTTTGTACATTATATGTGCACATGTGTGTGTATGAGTGTGGGCGCTGGCGTGTCAATGCACTTAGCTTTATTAAGTGATACTGCCCCAGAGTGAGAGGGAGGCTGTTTATAATCAAGTTATTCTGGAGCAGCAATCCAATTTTCCGATAGAGAATGGAGTGAGATTTCTGTTTGTGTGTGTGTGCGAGAGAGAGAGAGAGAGGGGGGGGAGTGTGTAACTTTGTCTGACGCTTGTAGACAAGACAGAGGTTGGGATTTTATGCTTTCTGTGCACGTGTGCGTGTGTGGCTGAGTTTGTCATATGAATGCATAATGTGATCAAACATCTTAGTTGCAGCTCTCTAAGTGGCGTCATCAACTATAATGGTCCATAACAGTGAAAAGACAGCAAGTCATGAGCAAGACCCAACTGACACGGGTCTGTTACAGTTGATGAAAATAAAAACAATTTGTTTTACTACAGAAACACAAGCTGCATGCAGAAAGTGTTGAAATGAAAACTGTTTAAAACTGTTTCCTAGTAAAATTTATCTATAGAGCTCTGTTTGTATGGCTTCAAGGAAAATTCAGGAATCTGGGGATGATCCTTACAGTATCTTCCATTTTGCCTAAGGTGTGTGAGTGAATTTATAGTCTCTTTAGGCCTATTTAGGCTTATCTGAGAGAGGGGACAAAGAGGCTTTTC